GCGCAAACACAATGGTGTCGTCACGAACTGTGATTTCGTAACATGTGTCCTTGTCATTGATGACGTCTGTCGAAAATGGGAACAACTCGAGTTGAGCGCGGGCGCAACTGATGATCGCAGGATGTGTAAAAAGGAAATCCCACCCTAATATGACGTCGTGAGAACAAAATGGTAACGCAATGAATTCGATCACAGAAAGAACATCCTGGATGATGCCACGGGCTGTGCAGGCACCGGATGGCTCAATGTGCTGCGCGTTGGCTATACGAAGGGATAGTCCAGAAACAGGCGTCATGACTTTTCCGAAATGGCGGCAAATGCCGTCATCGATTGCTGAGAGGGCAGAGCCGGTGCCAACAAGGGCTACCGTCCATGTTCCCTTTATAGCGACTTCAATAAAGTTTTGGGGATGAAAATTTGAGGCCTTATGCATTTCGCCAGAAATGCCCCTTATAACAATGACTGTTGATTTTCTATTGTCGAACTGTGGTCGAATGATTCACTCTATTGATCATCAATAGTTCCGGAATACTCATTGACTTGCTTCAAAACTTCGTTGACAATATTTCTGTTGAGCATTTTGCAATAAAATTTTTATTGACTCATTTTTATTGAAATACAATTGAGGAAGTATTTCATGAACAATTTTTCTGTTGAACACTTTGCAATAAAAATTTTATTGTCTCATTTCTACCAAACAAGCATGAACGAAATATTTCGTAAACATTATTTCTATTGAGCACTTTCCAAAAAAAGTTTATTGTCTCATTTCTATTAGAAAACTATGGGTGAAGTATTTCGTAAACAATATTTTGTTAGAAAAGTTGAGACGTGCGCCTGCTCGTGTTCTCCAGCGTGCGCGCGTGAAGGAGGGGGGAAAAAGAAAAAGAAAACAGAGGCGAGAACCGCGGAAGTTGCGAAGTTTTGTGTTCATGGTGTGGCCGTTCTATAGTGCATGCCTGACAATACTGAAACACTGGCCTATGTAAACGCGCGCCAAGAAAACACTGACCTTGGCGCGCGTTTCGGTATTCACTTGAACAGTGGTGTGGTGCTGAATAAAGGTAAGAGCTGCCACTCCACATAAATAAGATCAGTTGAAGAGAGAAAATGTGTAGAAACTACTCTATATTGCGAAATAATGCGCATAAATTCTAATTGCTCAAAAAAGTAACCGTCAAAACACTGAAAAGGCGCTGCTACCCGAGCGAGCAGCTGGCGGCAATTCGCGCGTACGAAATGCAAATTTTGGTGTAGGCACGCTAACATACGCATGCAAAGTTTACGTGCGAAGTCGCGTTGTCTTCAACAGTTGAGAATGGGCTGCTGTCACTGACACGCGTGTAGATCGCGACACGAGTGACTTTGCTCACAGCACACCCACGTGCCAGAGACATACGTAGGTTTTGACAGCCGAGCACAGCCTTGACGCGCTGTGGTATCCGCGAATTTCGGTGAGCCAAACACCCGCGGTTCCCGGGGAAGCCCTAACACGACGCGCCAACACACGATAATCGTTCTTGCAAAACGGCGAACCACGAACCGAAGTCCGAGCCGAAAGCACTCACCGTGGTTCTTTCGTGTTATGAAGCCCCACAAACTATTCGCTGATCAAATGCATGCGTAAACAAATGCATATGGCACAAAAAAGTTCAAGGTTCCGCCAACGGCTCGCGAAAAGCCACTTGGTGCAATAGGTAAGACATCTGCCTCACGTGCATGAGGTCCCGATTTCGATTCCAGTGCTGAGTGCGGCTTCCAGGTGTAGATTATTGTGATTCTACTCGTTTCCTAATTCCCTATAGTCTTAGTATTTACTGCATTATCACCGAGAAGCCACTCTCGAGTGCAAAAAAAAAATAATTCTTTTTTTTCGCATTGATGAACCATTGATGGCTTTCAACTAAACGTCGTGGGCCAATTTTTAATCCTTGTCAACAATTGCCTTAATGATATTTCAATTATTCCATCCACAACCTATTTGCCATCGCCATTTCCTTTTCTCTCAATCATATATCTACATCGAGTTTATTGGTGGCTTTTCAATTGAAAGTCGTGGGCCAATTTTTCATCCTGGTCAACAATTTCCTCAACAGTATTTTGATTGAACCTTCATGTATTTTCGATCCCATCTGTTGACATTGCTCAATAACTTCTCTTTGTTTTTGTTTTCAATGAGAATTTTCGTAAGGGGCAGTTCTCGTCTCCTGAACTGCGCTACTTAGTTTTCCTGGCACACAGGGCTCCGCCGTCGGTGCATGGGGGAGAGGGAGTGGCGGTGAGGAGAAGGTGAGCGGCGACAGGAGGGTGGGGTCCGGGAGGTAGGATCAGATACGCAGTCGTCTGAATAACTGCGGCGGGGAAGACGTGGTGCATACATAACCCGTGGTGGGCGCACACTGTTGGATATAGGTGGTGCACGAAAGCGACAGTAACGGGCCACATGTGCAACAAGGCCACAATGAAAATAAATAGGATGGTTGTCTTCCGTGCGCAAAGGGGGATCGTGGGCTCGTTCGTACTGTACGACTGGGCGGGCGGGTAGCGATGCTGGCTGGCGAATAGGCGGACGACGTGGGCTGTAAACCTTGCAGCACAAGCCTGAAAGCGACCGCAGCGTACGTCAGGGGAGCAGCAGTCGGAGCCTGATGGAGAGAAGGCGGGACTTCTTTGGCGACTTGGTCCCTGATGATGTTTTGGAGAGCGGGTGCCAACAAGAAATTCGACTGGTTGTCACCAAGCGGCATCAGCGAAAGCTGGCGAGCGACCTCTTCAAGGATGAAATCCTTAATCTGTAGCAGCAGAGATGAGTTGTAAGGAGCGACAGCCAATCCCGACATGGAAGTCACTTGTGGATGAGAGTGGCACGCGGCTGTATGTTGTTGCGTTGCTCATCAAAACTTTGGCAAAGACTGACAAGTTCAGACATTGTGGACAGGTTCTTTGCCAGCAGCATCTGAAAGGCGTCGTCTCCAATCCCTTTCAAGATATGCCTGATCGTATCGACGTAGGCCATCGCGACATCTACGCGGTTACACAGGTCGACAACGTCTTCAATGTAGCTGGTGAATGTTTCACCCTTCTGCTGCGCACGGCCAAGCAACCGTTGCTCGGCTCGAAGCTTGCGAACAGCGGGGCGCCTGAATACTTCCGCCACGTGCGTTTTGAAAGCAGCCCATGTCGGGACGTCACGCAGGTTGTTTCGATGCCACCCACTGGGGACGCCGCTCAAGTAAAATGGCACGTTGTTGAGCGTCATTCCAGTGGTTGATCACGCTTACGCGTTCGTATTCGACAAGCCAGTCTTCAACATCCTCTTCAGTACCGCTGAATATTGGTGGGTCGGGCAGACCAATGTAGGCACCAGGACATCAGGTTGTTGCTGTGGTCTATTTGGTACTTCATCCGGCTTTGCAGAGGCTGGGTTGAGTTTCCAGCAGCGAAGTTCCAGGTTGTGACTACCCAGCACCTCCACCACTTGTTGCGGGGCTTTATTATGGTACACAGCGACCGGGAGGATAGCAGAAACAACAGGCAATGCGTAGCTAGGGAGCGAACAGCCGAGTGAGCCAGGCGATGGCAATGTGCTTCCACATGTGTCTATCTTTTTCCTCACCGCCTTAGTCTAGTGGCTAAGGTACTCGGCTGCTGGCCCGTAGATGGCGTGATTAAATCCCGGCTGCGGTGGCTGCATTTCCGGCGGAGGCGGGAATATTGTAGGCCCGTGTACTCAGCTTTGGGTGCACATTAAAGAACCTCGTGTGGTCAAAATTTCCAGAGTCCTCAAGTACGGCATCTCTCATACTCATATGGTGGTTTTGCGTCGCTAAACCCCACATAATATTCAACTGTAGGTCTGTTGCTGTAGTTTATACGTAGGGGTCACAAGCTACGTTAGCATCGTTACTGTTATTTTCGTTGTACATGTTGCAATAGCAACCATGGTTTTTAACAGACAATAATATTCACACCACGTCTGTTTTCCCAGCCTAAGTTTGCGATTAGGTCATATTTTTGTACGCATCATGCTGTAGTTGCTGATTGGTTGTTACATGCTTCGTTTTGATGGTTGCTTTTCCTGTGATTGCTTTAATAACTCTCGTGGCTATCCCACCAATCCTGTTGAAACAATCGCCTTAAACATAAGAAGAAACCATGATCGCCGAAAGCTTCACGCAGGAGCCACTAAAATCCAAGTTCATCATTGTCCTCGTCCCGTGATCCAGGGTACATTTGATTTTGGTATGCCAACTTAAAAGCATTACCTTTTGTAGAGTGTACGTACATAATCATTATGTCCTACAAGTTTCATTCACCACACATGTTCATTGCAGTGCAGTCTGTTTTTGTCTACCATAGCTCTGGCACCGTGTGAAAGCACAAGCAGAACTTCGCAATTTTCGGACACAGCGCATATATTGATTTAAAATAAAAATGCTAGAATAAAAATGCCACTGAATCCAATATACTGATAGGCAATACTGCATGCATCCAGGCTGCGACTTGAAAACTTAAAGGCTTTAAGAATACACTGCTTTCCGAAACGCTGGCTTAAGTGACAACTTTTCTTTCAAGTATTTCAATCACTTTAAATGCTCATCTTCCATGAACTTGTCTTGCATATTTGCTCCTGGTTTTTCGTACTTACGACTTACAATTCTTGTAACATGGCTCTGTTGAGACACACCGAACTTCAAGTCAGCTAACAACGTTAGTCCTGTCACTTCAAACGTTTGCCGAGAACACTTATACTGATGCGTGAGAAAATTACACTAATACTGGCTCCCTCACTCTGCCATCTAAGCACCAGTGGTGAGAAGCTCCACACATAAAAACTTTTCGGTGTGCCCGGCTAAACCTTCTTATTACGTTCATTTCGCAAGGCTCTCTCCTGCTTTATTTAAGCAACAAAGAAAAGAAAGACACTGGAAAGTTGAGGTATGCGGCAGACGCACAGTTTTTACGTTAACACCTTAAATTGCAGAGTAGCAGTTACTTACCCAAACACATCGCCATATTCGTTCAGCCATTGATCGATCCTTTTTATGGAAGTCTGAAACCGGTAAACGTGCAAGAGAGCTCCTGAAATTCAGCTTCATGGATCAAAAAAAGAGGGCATTGAAAAGCGACAGGAAGTTTTCAGTAAGCCGCACAAAGTTGGGCACAGCACAGCTAGTTGATCCTCAATTCTTCTGGCTGTCGTAGATTAATTTTTTTTATTTATATCTCTTCCGTCATTTCTCTCTCTGTGTATTTTATTTTGTTTTTCTTCCATTGTTCATGTCCAGTTGTCTTCACTTTCTGTTTGCTTATGCTATTTGTTTCTTCTTTCTCAGATGCTTTGCCATTCTACTTTTCCTTGTCTTTATATGCTTTACTCTGCCTCTGATTTCCCCTTATCACCCTCGTTTACTTTTCCCGCCGACTTGTACAAGACTGTCATGTTTGCCAGCGTGTGTGAACGGCTGATTGGTCACGATACTATCTCTACTGTACTTTAAGGCTGCTTAAATAATTGGTTACGTCTGCCTCAACGTATTATATTGGTGTAAGCCTACAGTCTGTGCCCTTATTTATTTACAGGGGCCACGTGTTGAGTAGCGAACTTCATCCTATTTCTACAACACAACTTTCTTTCATAATGACGGTGGCTTCTGTGTTCATTGATTTATTTCGAGTTTTAACAGATTCACTGCAAAACACCTGTTTGACTCATCTGCGTGTCCTCTCGTGAACCAGCCAAACAACATTGTCGTGGTTTTTTTTTTGTAACTAGGTGTTATTGTATATGAAGTCTTTTTGTGCATTTGCGTATGAGTGGAGAAAATTTCAACGCATTTGACAATCAATTGGTTAAGCAGCCAATTTTTTCAGAGTCCGACCTTCAAAACGCAGTTCATGGGTGCATACGCATGACGCTCAACCAAACGTTCTGGTAGTTCAAAAGAGCCCCGCCGCGGTGGTCTAGTGGTTAAGGTATTCGGCTGCTGACCCGCAGGTCGTGGTATTGAATCTAGGCTGCCGTGGCAGCATTTCCGATGGAGGCGGAAATGTTGTAGGCCCGTCTGCTCAAATTTGGGTGCATGTTAAATAACCCCAGGAGGTCTAAATTTCCGGAGCCCTCCACTACGGCATCTCTCGTAATCATAGGGTGGTTTTGGGACTTTAAACGCCACATATGAGTCATATCAATGTTATTTCAGAATTGGTGGCTAAGACTGAATTTTCTATTTTTTTATTTCATTTTTAACCAAGTGTGTGTATGGTCCTGTGCCATAAATACTACGAAAAAAATAAAAAGAGATAAGCTCTGCTTCATAAGTACGTGAACACAGCAACATACTTTCGAAAGCCTTTGACGTCTACCTCAAACCAGCGTCGCCATTCTTGTTTCAGCTGTGTGAACGTTATTCATGTGCAGAAACGTCAGTTTCTCAAATCGTGAACCATTATTTTACTTACTGGTTTCCAGAATTCTTGACTATTGCCACTGATTAAGCTCAGTAGAGGCACGGTTGGAACTCCCGTGCCGTCGAAAGCATCGAAGCAGGCACGGCGCCGGCTGCAATGGTAAATGGCAGTGATTAGTCACTCTCACTTGCTTGCTGCGTTGTCACGTACAGCAGACAGGATTCCATAAATAGAGTGGTAAATGAAAATGCATAAAAATTAGAGTCATACATATACAGGTAAGACACTTTAAGCGAATGGGTTTCGATGTTTCAGAAAAAGGACACATAGTTGAGCTTACCAAGCAAAAATGCGTCCGGTGAACAGCATTTTGCCTTTTTATGCGGGGGCTTATTTCGCTTGTGGGCTGTAAAAGCCTCCCCATGTACACAACTGAAGATTTCATGTTATATCGATACAAAAGGTCTTCGGTCTTCGTTGGCAATTGGTCGGAATACCTGAGAGACAGGATTGATATATTTGGTTTTACTGTAGCCCAAACGCCAGAAAAGCCCGATATGGGTAGTTTAGTTCGCAATGTCAACCAGGGCTGTTTCGGCTCAACGACACTATATATCTCCCAGTAGGGGCCTGTAGGATCGGAAATGACCGTTCATATTGCACCTATTCCAAGTTTGTGGGAGTTAACTTACAACTGACGACAGAACCCCCGATCAAGCCGAGAGTTCCTTCTGTAGCTTCCCCATGTGTTTTAGGGTCGAAGCTCCTTAAAGCAGCACCCGTTCGTCCCCTGTCATAGTACGTAACATGTCTTACGCTTTGACATGCAAGGTGGTGCCGGTGGGAGATTTCTCCTGTGCGTTGTTGAACAATAAAAAAATTGCAGCGTGCGCATTAACTAAAAGTCGAATTCACCTGTCTCGCATTCCCCATTAGCCGCCATTTCCATGTACATTGAGCACTATCTGACAAGAAAGGGTTGCTACGTCATACTCCCTAGGGGTTACCTCCTTGGTTTTAGAAAGGTTTAGCGAGCGTTGGACCGCAGTGCTTTGAATAATACAGTGAACTCGTATATACCATGAACTCGCGGTGGTTAAAGGTGGGAAGTAGACACAAAGCACAAGCCGTAAGAAAGTGCGCATGTGCCACCTCTCGTTTAGTCCTTGGAATATCCGCTGGATGGTCGTGCTTCGATATGAGGAATATATGATGAAAAGATGGGAGATGGTGGTACTTGGAGTGTTGAATAGGTGGACGAACGGACACACAGACAGATGCATGGATGGACGCGCGGATGGCTGCACGTACGGATGAACGCATGGACGGACGCAGGAGCGGATGTATGGACGAACGCATGATTGATTTATGATTTCATTTGAGGAGTTTAACGTCCTCACACCACCATATGATTATGAGAGATGCCGTAGTGGAGGGCTCCGGAAATTTCGACCACCTCGGGTTCTTTAACGTGCACCCAAATTTGAGTACATGGGCGTACAACATTTCCGCCTCCATCGGAAATGCAGCCGCCACAGCCGGGATTTGATTCCGCGACCTGCGGGTCAGCAGCCGAGTACCTCAGCCACAAGACCACCATGGCGGAGCATGGACGAACGCAGGAACCGAGGCACGAACAGGCGCACGCACGAACGGGCGGATGGACGCATGGACGGTCACAGAGACGGACGCATGGATGAGCGGAAGCAAGAAAGAATGGACGGACGGATGCTTCGCGCCACTCTCCATCCTTCACCCCGTTGATATGCTGCTATTGTTTAACCTTTACTGATCTTGGTGCACTAAATCTATTTTCGTATGCTTTACCAACAATCCTCCCGAGCCATGCTGATGTTTTTCGCTACCGCATTCTGAGCGCTTTACCGCAGCCTTCCTTTAATGCTTCAGATGGTCCACCTGATTGAACTGTGTCGCCCTTTTTTTCCAAATTCAGTATAGCTCCCAGCATTTGAACTACTTTCAACGACTTTTCGTCAACAACGTCAACTTTTTTCAGCTGCGCTCACTTTGGCTGACAAGCCAACACGCCTTCAGATGAAAACGACACCTGTGCCCTTTGCTGTATTAGGGCCTGCTGAAAGCATAGTGAGTGCAGTAAGGACAAAAAAAAGAACGCTATCATTGTGCCCTGATATTTTTATTAGCAGGAACTGTTTCCTCTGTTAGGTTTAAAACAAATGCTTTTTTGCTTCAACACTGAGGAGGTGTCTGAAATTCTTCTCGTGGAAAGGATCCATTGACCTTACTAACCATAGTCAATTATTTTAGAACACTCAAGGTCATATCTATCAAAAATATTATAATTAGGATTGAAGAAAAAAGTAAGCCTTGTAGAAAAGGTTACAAGAGGAACAAAAGAGCGAACGCAAACGCCGTTGCTGCTGACTTGGTACTATATAGTATTTGTAAGGCTTAAATAAGGGGCCTCAAATTCGCGTCCCTCCTATTTCTCAGATGGGGCCAAAGAAATAACAGTCTTCGTTCAAAATTTTTAATGCTTTTGCGACTGTTTGTGACGTTGCTAAAGAAGCGTTGCGGTGTTTTCTTGCCAATAGCAAATACCAGCTCTTCACCTTTGTTTTCGGGTAAGCTTTTAAGCCATGAGTGATCATGAGCATGCTTTTCGTGAGGAGCCCCTTGCAGTTACCATGTGCTAAAACCCAAGCAGGTAACAATAAATTTATCTAGATTTAAATCATTGTTGTGGAGATCGGTATGAATGTTTTTCGTATCCTTGCGCCAAATCTTTTTCAGAAAGGGACATATATGAGGTAGGTAAAAGACCTCCTTTTAAACAGCAATTTTTGCTGGTATTTCGTTCAAATTCTTCCACTGGTTCTGAGCCCATTGTATCCTAGTATTTTTTCTGACCTAACTTTCTTCTTCCAGTATAGTAGTTACCGTCGCTGGCGGCAGCGGCGGACAATTGTGGCTCTAAAATCGGCACTTGGTGCTATTTTATTAGAGCTTTTGCTGTTAAACTACATAATAAAACGCACAGTTATTGCCATGAAGATATACATAGGTGTCCAATGTGATAAGAAGTGCACTGCCAACACGTGTCAAACGTCATCCACTTCACTATCTTGTATTACGTCATAGGCAAGCCACCTATATATACTTAATCGTCTGCAAAATGAAGGTCGTGCTGCGTTGGTTTTCAGTCCGGCTCGGTCACTCTGGGTTAGTTACTACAGTGGCGACAAGGATGGGATTCACAATTTCTGAGCGCTGAATATAACCATCCACCACCACGGAACGTCGACGGGCACGACCTCGGCTACGAGTCCCGGCATTCCAAGTATCGACGAAAATTAAGAGAAGTGGGAGATTTACTTGACTCAGCTGGAGGCATTCTTTGAAGCAAACGATATTAGCAAAGCGGAAAAGAACAGGGCGTTTTTGGTTTCGATGCTATCGGCAAAGGTGGTAGGCGTGATTGCGGGACACTGTGCTCCACGTGAAGTAAATCAGCTGAGTTAAGTATAAGCGCTTGTCTTCCTAAATGCCCACTATGCGCCGAAGTGTAACGAAGTTGCCACAAATTACAAGTTCTTCACTAGGGACCAAACTGCCACTGAATCTATCCGAGACCATATCATTGAACTTCGCAAGCTAACAAGTGTAATTCAGCACCGGCCTTGACCGTATGTTACGTGACTGCGTTGTTTGTGGCATTCGAAATTGCACTGTGCAGCAGACGCTGCTCGAAAGAAGTGAGCTCACGCTGGCTGAAACGACAAACATTGTTACGGCTGCTGAAACCGTTGCGCAGGAACTTAGCGCCATGACCAAATAGGATGTGGCAGCGGTATGCAGTTCAGCTGAAATATCGCGCCCGTATGAAACCACCGTCGGAGATAAAAAGAAACGAATAGCCGATTGCGCACATTGCGGTGGATATGATCATCAAGCAAATGATTACACGCACAAGAGAGATGAACGTTTTCGCTCTGGGAATACGGGTCATTTTGCAAAAAAATGGTGCTTCAAATCGAGGCTCAAGGCTTGTAGCAGGCAGGCTGGCAGTGCTTACGCCGTTCAAAATGAGAGCACTGCGTCTGAAACAGATCACATTTTCAATAATCCCACAAGAAGTGTATCTGAATCATTGCCTGAGCTGGCCGCCCTTATCAAAGTAACGCACAGCTGCTATTTGGCCAAGCTACCCGTTGTCGGTGAACTGCAGCTTCAAACTAAGTTTTCAGGCAAAGCTGTTCCTGCCACCCTGATCGTTATTGTGTTCTGGTCCTAGCCTTTGTGAAAGGAATTTAATCCCAGCATTGTGAATACTTCCGGGCGAGTTCCTCGGAACAGTGCAATCGGTGTCAGTTGCTCCCGACAGCCTCTGCACAGTTTCATGCACTTTTTGAATCTGGCTTGGAAGAATGGAGAGACCTCCGGCGCAATTCCACCTTCGAGAAAACGCCCACCCTAAGTTCCACAATGCATGGCCTACCCCATACGGTCTTCGTGAGAAAGTGTAGAGAGAGCTGGAATGCTTAGTGAGTGAAGGCATATTGTCGCCTAGAGCCCATTGAGTGGGTGGCACCAACAGTGCCGGTACTAAAGAAAGACGGGTCGCTTCGCATCTGCGGTGACTTTAAAACCACAAGTAGTTTTGCGTGCACATCTGAGCAGTATCCACTATCTAACATCGAGGATATTTTCGCGTCTATTCGTGGGGGATCTCTTTTCACTACATTGGATCTGAAGGACGCGTTAACCAGCTCCCCTTAGATGAGGAAGCGAAGAAGGTGGCCGTCATAAATACGCTGAAGGGGCTGTTCTGCTATGAACCTCTTCCGTTTGGAGTTGCCTCGGTTCACGCGATTTTTCAGCGCTACGTGGAAACCGTCCTGGCTGGCCTTCCAGCCGTGCAGGTGTACTTGGACGATGCACTAGTGGCCGAGCGTGAAGACGGTAACGACTCTGTTCTCCGGGAGGTCTTACACAGTTTTCAGGAAAACGGTGTCAAGCTGAAGGCAGAAAAATGTCACTTCCGTAAAGACTCAATCATCTACTTGGGGCAACGGATCGACAAAGACGGTTTGCACCTGTCGGAAAACAACCTCGCTGCAATACGTGATTCCCCACGGCCTACAAATGTAAGCGAACTGCATTCGTTTT